TTGGCTTAATGTACATGGCTATTGTTCGAATGATACTAAGGAAGGGGCAGTGTTACGACAGCAGAAGTCACGTGATGCTGCTGGCGCATTGGTGTTGGCGGCGTGTGCGAGGAGTTTCTTGAATGATCATGAATTTCCTAGTGCGTTCGGGATGTCCTCTTTTTTCAGTATATAAATCTGGTAGAGAAAGCCTGCGGGATTGATTGAATGAAGAGAGTTCCAGATAATTTACGATTCTGTTTCGAGCTATTGTGTATTTTGTTATCGAGATTGTGAATTGCTGTGATTTATAGCGTGTATTATAAAAGTAGTTAATTTAAAGTGACAAGAAACGTATTGACTGTGGAATTACCATGTACTAAAGTTTTTATTGAGAAATAATAAACTGGTTTAATCAAGAAAAGACTTGTATTGCTGGAGTTCCTCGGAAAAAAATTCTACCGGAAATTAACAAACAAGCATATTTGCAGGAATACTTTAGTTATTTGTTGGATATCAGTGAACATGAATATTATAAATACATAAATGTGTATACGTAAATACAGCATGTTTTATGAGAAAAAGTAACAGTACAAACCCAAGATACTACTATTGTGACTTGTAACAGCACTATGTCTTTACAAAGTTGAGATTTCATATCATGCAGTCGTTTTAACCACAGAGTAGCTAAGCCTTAATAACTTATAAATAGTCAATTTTATAAAAACACTATTTCCTCAAAATGTCAAGAGTCAATATCATACAATTATTTTAACCACAGAGTAACTAAACCTTAGGACCTTATGAATTGTAAGCTCATCAGATGAAATAAAGCTTTTTGGAGGTTACCATAACCAAATCTGTTACATTAGATTCATCAGATAAAATAACAAAGCTTTTCAAAGGTTTCCATATCCAAATCTGTTATATTAGAATCATCAGCTAAAATAACAAAGCTTTTTGGAGGTTGCCATAACCAAATATGTTACATTAGATTCATCAGATAAAATAACAAAGCTTTTCATAGCTTACCATATCCAAATCTGTTATATTAGATTCATCAGATAAAATAACAAAGCTTTTCATAGTTTACCATAATGAAATCTGTTATATTAGATTCATCAGATAAAGCTTTTCATAGTTTACCATAATGAAATCTGTTATATTAGACTCATCAGATAAAATAACAAAGCTTTTCATAGCTTACCATAACCTAATCTGTTATATTAGACTCATCAGATAAAATAATAAAGCTTTTCATAGCTAATCATAACCAAATCTGTTATATTAGATTCATCAGATAAAATAACAAAGCTTTTCATAGTTTACCATAATGAAATCTGTTATATTAGATTCATCAGATAAAATAACAAAGCTTTTCATAGTTTACCATAACCAAATCTGTTATATTAGACTCATTAGATAAAATAATAAAGCTTTTCATAGCTTACCATATCCAAATCTGTTACTTTAGGCTCATCAGTAAATTCTACTGGAATGTTTGCTTGTGTGTTTTCTCTGACAGTAGCACTGTATTGTGTGTTACTGAATTTCGGAAGGTTGTCATTGATATCTTCAATAATTATATTGCAGTTAATTTTTGTTGTTCTGTTGGAAACATAATTTGAACCATTCCATTCTGATGCCTATAAAAATAAAGCCAGAAAACAAAAAGTTTCTTATATATCTTGGAATAAGAGATACTATGTTACTAAGAGGTACATAATCATTTGTCTAGAATTAATCATAAATATCCAAGAATGATGAACCTGATGAAAAAATGAGAAACCCTAAAGCAACTTAAACAAAACAGTTATACAGGCAGTGGAAAAACAAGAACAGACTAGCAGTGTGCACCCTACCACATGTGCAGATTGTGACATACACTAGCAGTGTGTACCCTACCACATGCAAATGCCGTGAGACTAGCAGTGTGCACCCTACCACATGCATATATTGTGACATACACAAGCAGTGTGCACCCTACCACATGCATATTGTGACATACACTAGCAGTGTGCACCCTACCACATGTGCAGATTGTGACATACACTAGCAGTGTGTACCCTACCACATGCAAGTGCTGTGAGACTAGCAGTGTGAACCCTACCAACTTGCTCAGTCTTTTTAGATTAGAATCATACCCTAATAAGGATATGTAAACCTTAGGTGCTGACCAAAGTATGTAGTTGTTAGTAGATCTTATGTAACCACATACACTAATCGCATTATGCTACTTTTAATCACTAATCAAAATGCACTATTTTAAAAACAGTGTTAGGTATACATTTCAAATGTTTGGAGCATTGTATTCAAGATAAATGTTTATATCACTTATAAGATTCAAAATTATTTGTTGTTTTTGGTTTAAAAATATATTAATCTGTATGCTTTGAAAAGTTTTGGTGAAAATTTACTGTCCACTATGCCACAATCAGCAAATATTTCTTTAATGTTGATTCTGTATCAAAAATTTTTAATGGAACTATAAAAGTATATACCTTCAGACAACTTGACTTGAACTATAAGTATACACTGTTGTACATACATTTTAAAATGGTTATTTCAAATGCTTTTATTTTATACAAGAGTTGTTGTATAGTTACAGTTCAACAACAGAAAATATATGTCACAACCTTAGCATCTTATACTGTATACTTTTAACTGCTAACTGAACTATGGGTTGAATTTTCTAATGACAGCCACAAAGCCAAGTTATATTCTACTAACTCTGCATTAATTGATGTAATAACCTTGATGCATCTAAATTTAGAAATAAAAAACACAAGAGTAATCTTACATCTACAGGGAAGACACATGACTAGACTTACCTCTACAATAAAATAACTTTAAAGAAAAAGGTGTGTAATCTTACCTTTATTGAGACAAGTAATCTTTCTTCAACATAGAAAACATAAGAGTAATCTTACCTCTCTACAGAAAACATAAGTACTCTTACCTCTATGGAAATTATCAACATTGGATCATCTACTAAGTTCAGATTTGGATCTTCACGATCAATTTGCTTATTTATGGTGGTACTTCCATTTTTCTCCCCAATTCTAAAATAGTCCTTATCCATACCTGAAGACACTAAACATACAAATAAATTGATTATTCTAGCTGGAATTAGTTAAATACTTGACACGTCAATCAGGCATTAACTAAAATGTAAAAAACAGATTAATAAATTACTCGAATGAAAATAAGACCGTGTTCATGATTTCCTACATATTCACTAATCAAATAATGTAAAAAGATTAATACTTGCTCTTACACCAATTCCATATTACAATATACTTTTGTTTCATAATAAATGTACAAGATGTAAATACTAATGCTCATACAGATATATTTTCACAGTAATTTAGAGATTTCATACAGTATTATTTATACAGGGTATTGTGAACTAATGACTAACACCAGGGTTTTGTACGGTATTGTATAAAACCAATGTTATCCTTTGAACAGTCTTTTCAATGTACCAGTACAAGTATTTAATAAAGCATTGTGTCTGTTATAGTAGAAATAATTTCATCCTTCCATACTTATCATAGAATATATCTTTAGTTATTCATGTATATTAAGATGTATTTAAAATGATAAAAACCCTATAACCCGAGCACTTTAGAAAGGTGAACCTTTCTTTTTCAGGCACAAACTGCAGAAGAAATGTCTACCTTTCGAAAGTACTTGGGTTATAGGATTTTTATCATTTTGTATCAAGACTTCTTGAACCTAAATATTTTTCTAAAATCATTACGATATATTTCAATAATCTTTATCAATTTCCATGGAGTTTTGCTTGTAGTCATGACAGCTGTGTTATCCAAATGTCAAAAGGTTGTAAACAAATGTTAATCATTTCACAAAAATAAAGATTACATGCTGAAAACTTAAGTCTCAAGCTGGCATTTAGGCAATTTTGTTTAAACATCTATGAAGTTTGCATATTAAGACAGATAAAACAACAACAACATTTCAAACTGGTTTGATGTTGTTATTATTGTATGCAAATTAGTCGTTAAAGTATGTAAGCTTCATTACTTCTGGGCTACCACAGTAAAGTTTTCACCCAACTATAAAGGAATGGTATACACACAAATCTTAGTCGTGACTGATTCCTGTCTCTTTCCTTTGCAGATGTTTCGTAAGCCTGTTAAACCCAAGCAACTAATTAAAGTCACAATAAACTGTTCTAAAAAGGTGATAAAGTGGTAACCCTATAATGTATTACAAACTGTGTTAATTTCTTAATACCACCAGAAAACTTGGAAATTAAGGGTCACAAGACTCTCTTGGTCAGTGGTTTCTCTATTAAACAACCGACTCATCTGATGATAGAGTAATAATCATAAGGTGAAGTGTATAAATAATATTTCATGCCACCACTTGTGGGCTTGAAGAGCTATCAACACCTTGTTGATCACATGACTGTCTTAGCTGGACATAATCAAGTCCATATTAGACAATGTAGTGCATCAGACAGTTAACATTAGAGCTCTCTTTTGCCTATGAACCCAGCAACTCCTCAGCTGGATTATTACAGACAGAAAAATAAGTGCTCTCAGCTTTTTTCTCTATTGTTGGGTAAGTCAGTAATTCAATACAGCATCATAATCCTCTTCTGATTTGTTGGTCTTAGCCTCAGACTCCTTGTCAAGCCAGTGTATGAGATGTTCATCTGTGATGTACAGATATAAATTTTCAATGTGTTTCATGTGTTTTTTGTTTGTTTTTCCTCTGCTGATACATTATCTGTTAGGCATCAGTAGACCTAACTACAACAATCCAGACTAAGGTTATGATTTTATAAAGTTCTATCTAAATGCCAATATCAAGATTTAAAATGTATAATGTCTTTCTTCAATTTGTTCACATGCCAATGTTAAGGTTTTATACAGTCTGCCTGAACAATGGTATCAGGAATTCCCACATCAGTATCAGGGATTCTCACACCCCTGTCTGTAAGGCAGTATGAGGAATTTTTAAAAGTCTTATCTACATGTAGGTTTCAAGGATTCATACAGTCCTATCTACCATCAGTATCAGGGATTTATTTATAATGTCCTGTGTATGCATCAGAATCAATGATTTATTAAGTTAAGTATACAGATTAATATCATAGTTTTATACACTTCTATCTACATATAAATGTCAAGATTTTATATAATTGTGTCTACATATCAAACCACATAACCTGAGTGCTATGGAAAGATATATCTTTTTTCATCAGAAGCAAACTTTTATATTAATCCATTATGATGTCAACATCATAGTTTTATTTAATTTTTTCATGTGTCAAGCTCAAAATTATATGTAGTTCTGTGTATCCTTAAATATTAATCTCATAAAGAATTTTATAATAACTAAAGATAGGATTTTAAAGAGCCCATTATACCTGTTAGTGAAAAAGTATTAAAACAGATTCTAGACAGTTAAGGAGAGAATAAATAAACTCAGACAGGAAAGAAATGTAAGTAAACAAATACACTGAACCTTTGTTCACAGTGAAAGTGTGTCAAATATAATTTATATACTAGCTGACCTCTAATCCTGTTGTCCTTTAAACAGCTGCTAGAGTTGAAGAAAATTACTTCTTTAAAATTTCCAGACTGGAAATTGAAAAAGCAGTTTCCAATTTACCATGAATTTACAGTGGGTAGATAGTGCCAAAGTAATAGAAATGTTACACAGTTTTATCTAGTAATAGTATTAGTTTATGGCTTATCAACACTATGTTTAACAAGAATGTGATTAACTGCATGTAAATTTAAAATCTGAATCTGACTAAAGCTGTATTCTATACTATTTATGGAAGAGTGAAATTCATAGCTGTTTTATAGATCAAATTATAAACTTTTCTAAAAAAAATCAAAGCTATAGAATTAATGGAATTTTAAGTTTTCTTTAATAGAGTATTGAATTGTTTGTGAACATAATTATTCCCTGAAACAGAATATTGAAAGTACTTAACTGTTATATTAGCAAAAATATTTATTCTGATAAATACATTAGCATGCAATATAACACACAGAAGGTACAATGTGACCCAAAACTTGAGTGATTTCAAATAGTTAACCCTTATACTTCAAGAAGAAAAGTCAACTATCTAAAAGTGCTCAAATTTTGGGTCTTTTTTTTGAAATTCATAGTAAAATTGACTCAAAAATATAAACCAAAAATTAAAAATCTTTTTGGCATGCTTACCTTCTACAATAGAATACCTAATTTCATTGTTAATTCCAAAATCCCCATCAACAGCTTTCACTTCAAACACTTCATGACCCTATACAAAATGGAGAGTATAATATATTTTGCACTGAAACGTTGATTATGTTGAAAAGCAATTTTAACTACAGTGATAGCATAACCCACTAAAATCAGTAAATTGTTTTCTATATTGTTAACTAAGGTTGACAGTGGACCTTAATGAAATCACTATACTATCAGGCAAGCAGTAGCACAACTTATGTAAGGATGGCTCGGATTGTTTATCAAAATGATACTTTAAATATCTCCTCAACAGGTCATCCTACCTTTACAACACTATACATTTTTTCCTTTATAACAATATCCATGTAATTACTGAGTCGCATGTTCTAGCAATGTCTGTAAATGTCATAGTAAAAAGTTTGAATTTCTTGTTCTTCTTTCTGCTGCTGCTGCTTTTTTGTATGATCACTAAAAAATCAAAACAATGGTGTCAACCAATTTCACCAAGGTGACATAGTTTCAAATGGAGTATGCCTTCTATATGTATTACTAGCTAGAAGTAATTAAATAAATCATAATTCCGGTGTAAACGATGTTATCATAACCCCCTGAAATTAGCTTTCTTACAGAAATTTGGTGTTTCTTTAAAATACTTATGTATAGGGTGAAATAGGAATTACCAGCCAATAACAGGTAAACGATAAATACTACCTCACTGTATTTAGAATTTGGTTATAAATATAGCCTTCCTATATATATATATATATATATATATATATATATATATAACTATAGTACTATAATAAACTAATAAGTA